TTGATTAAGGTCTATTCTCTGTTTGGGGTCATCTTCCCCTATGCATGCTTCATTCCTTCATAATTAAGGCTATGCATTAGAGCACTTGCATTGGCCATGGTTTGGCCTCTTAGCCACTGGGCCAAAATTAGAGGGTGGTGACCCCCTCTCTCCTTGTCTTGGTTGGAGATCTTTTAGGCCTTCCAAAGGGACCCTATTTTGCATGCATCGAAGTCACTTTACAGGCCTCATTCTGAGGGTTTTCAAGCCTGCCTTGGCTCTGTCTGAGGCCCATTTTGCCATATTTTAGGTCTATGTTGCATGTGTAGACTAATCCCATTCAAGGCCCTTCAAAGAGGCCTTTCTTTGCATGTTCCCTAGACCAATTTCAGGCCCAATTTAGTGAGTTTTAGGGCTATCATATTTGATTTCCAGAGTTGGTTGTGCCATGCTAAGTGTCCTTGATGCATGTGCTTAATTATGCCCTGTATGCCCTTCCAAAGAAGCCCCTCATTTTTGCACATGTTGGCCACATTTCAGTGATTATTTGAACATATTTTGGCATGTTTTATTCACTGATTTTTTCTGGTTTGGTGAGATTTCATATGCTTCATATGCATGCCATGTAAACCATGTTTGCTAGTCAAAGTTGCATGCTATTTTAGTCCATCACGCTAGCGTCTTTTGGTCATTCTTTGAACTAGAAATGTTCATATTTTGGGACTGCCTTGGCTCTGTCTTTGTGCTTTATGGTCAAATAATGCATGCTTTGTATAGCTACAAGTCAATACATGTGCCTAATTTTGAAATTTCGGGGCTCATCTCATGCATCGGGTGCCATATATCCATGATTCGAGATCGTTTTGCATCATATTTCAGTGCTGAAATTTACATGTTTGAATGCCATGTTGCATGCCTTGCCATGCCTTATTAGAGTTGCACGTTGTGCCTTAGGTTTGGTCCTCGATTTGCATGCATATGTGTACGCATTTCGGTGGTCTCATTTTCATCTTATGGCCACTGATGTGAGTGTGGCTGAGGTCCACTCATGTTGGTGTAAGTCCATTATGCATTGTGTATGCTATTTCATAGCATTGCGTATGTTAGGTTGTATGTTAGAGTATTGTGTATGTCATGTTGCGTCGTGCATTGTGTATGTCATTTCATAGCATTGCGTATGCTAGGTTGTATGTTAGTCGCATTGTGTATGCCATCTCATTTGCATTGTGTTTGGGATAGGATGTAAGGCCCCGGTGTCCCACATCGGGAATGGAGGGGGAGTTCCTGGGCTATAAAAGTAAAAACCTGGACCCTTATATAGCATCGAGGCCTTTTCCCAAGTGATGAAATCCCTATTAGAACTCCCCAGTTAAGCGTGCTTAGGCTGGAGTAGTTCTAGGATGGGTGACCCACTGGGAAGAACAAATCCGTACGGGCGTGGCCCAAAGCGGACAATATCGATGACGTGTAAAGGGTCGGGGCATTACAAATGGTATCAGAGCCGACTCTCCGGGGTACCGAGTGTGGGCCCCTGGCGTCTCTCGGTGCATGTGGGCTGGCTTGCGAGCTGGCAGGCTACTGCACGGGGACGTGCAGCCTTATGGGGGTGGATTGTAAGGCCCCGGTGTCCCACATCGGGAATGGAGGGGGAGTTCTTGGGCTATAAAAGTAAAAACCTAGACCCTTATATAGCATCGAGGCCTTTTCCCAAGTGGTGAAATCCCTATTAGAACTCCCCAGTTAAGCGTGCTTAGGCTGGAGTAGTTTTAGGATGGGTGACCCACTGGGAAGAACAAATCCGTGCGGGCATGGCCCAAAGCGGACAATATCGATGACGTGTAAAGGGTCGGGGCGTTACATAGGAGTTAGCCCAAGCACAGGAAACGAGGGACCTTTCGTACTCCGAGTGATGGAACGTGTCTTAATTCCCGGTCGCCAACACTCCGGATTACCCATGATGGAGTTTAGGTCTTGTTGCGTTTCCATGTGCATTCATTTCACATCGAGTCGTGCAATTCGACTCCTCGGCCATCATGCATCGATATGCGTGATTGATGGCATGAGGATCGAGGACTACACTCCCCGAAAAGTAGTCATGCATACATATGTGAAAATACTTTGCCATGCCCCTTTGTTGCTCTTTGTTGCAGTAAATCATAAATCAGCGGCCTTCTGGAGCTTTGCACAATATTCCGAGAAAAATTGCAAACAGAGGTGAATCGGGACATCGCAATGGATTTTCGTGCCAGGCAATTCAAGCATGCATCATTCCACCATTCGGAACAGAGCCGAGGCAGTCCATAGGCTTATATGCTAGTTTATCGCTTTCCTAGTTAATTTGTTAACTAATTAGCGTTTTGTAATATTTAATTATTCATTCTGGACTGTAATTATTTATTCGGACTGTATTATTTATTCGGACCCTCCGAGCGAGGGCGCAACTGTAATAAGTGTGCGTGCGTGCGTGTGATGTATGTCTTCCAACCCCACGTCTTTTTCCCTTTTATTTACCAGCTTATGATGGTTAGATTAGGGCATATTTCAATTAGCATACAGTATGATAGCATGTTTGCATTCATTCATCTGTATTGCATGCACCGGGCTCGGCGCACCATACTAACTGCATTTGTATTTCAATTTCAAATTGAATACGTATTAGCTGTAACATCATCATATGCCATGTTTAAAATAGCCAAGCCTATCTTAGTTGCATTTTGCATGTGTTGCATTAGGCATTTCTGTATAGTTAGGATCATGCATGGATTTCTAACAGAGCTTCTGTTTTGGCTTGGAGTGCTCGGTAAGTACTTATGCTTTAGCATCCTTGCATGTGTGTGAGTGACTGCCATGATAGCATGCTTACCATGAGGCTATGTGCTTATTTGATATAACTGCTTAAATGCCTGTGGGTGAAGGTTGGGTTATTTGAATTGGAATAATTCATCGACTGCGAGTTTTAAGCCCACTACATAATGGCAAAATCATGTTTTCTAAGCCCACCTGAGGGTGGCAAATCCACATTTTAGCCTACTTGCGGGTAGCACCATCAAACCATTTTCAAATAAACAAACATGAAATGTTTTGTTCCAATTCAGGCGACCTAGTCTATACTTGTATACTGTGCGCATCACATGTAAATCTAGGTTAATAACCGGAATAAGAACGCATAATGTTTTCAAAACTAGATATCATGGTTAGTAGAGGCTGATCTTTGATCGGATGAGCGGGGGTGCTCACGAAGTGACCTTCCCCAATCGTACCCAAGTTCCCGAGCTGAGGCAACTTTGGTGATGACGGATACGTGGCCTTAGGCAACGAGTCAGGGTTTCCTAAATTTTCTAAAATAAAATATTTAGGTGGCGACTCTGTATCTGGTAAAGCAGTCCATGTTTGGCACTTCTTTCAAAAAAATCTGTTTTCAAAAACGATTTGCCGGATTTGGACTCTTTAATGATTCATCGGTCTTGCATTGCACTTCGCGAGATTAGATACAGGACCGTGATACCAATTGAGTCCGAACTGTAGCGAGGCCCGAGGACGCGTCTACACCGTATATTGCATGGGTTACCACTAATATAAATATATGTAAAAGTTCATAAAATTATGTAAAAAATAATAAAATTCTAGCATTATTTCAACCTTAAAGATATCCTAGTAATAAAAAAATAATAATAAAAAATGATCCTATCTTTTTGACGCAAATTATACGTGGGTGGGGCCGGCCATTAAGGTCCAACAACTAGCATTAATATTATAAATTTAAAAAATTTATTTAAAAACATATATAATTCAAATTTATTTTACATATTAACCTCATAATGTACATTTTTAATTTTCACTAGACACGCTTATTGATGTCACAAATCTAAAAATGAAAGTCTAGTTCCTAGACCTAGGTTAGGTGGTGTTTGGAAACAAATTGAAAAAATCAAATAACTAAAAATTATTACAAAATGTCCAACACTTGTTTTTATTTTTTTTAATAAAAAATTAAAAAAATCAATTCCTAAACACCACCTTAATGCAATAGCTAGTGTCAATGGATGGTTCTTCAACCTCACGTTGTCATAATTGAGACGGTTGGCACCCATCAAAAGCTATCCTTTTTATGTTAGTTCCTAACTCCACCATGTTTTTATGATTTCATTTGCATCGTCTGTTTTCTTGGTCTTTGACTTTGCATTGACAGAAGGTTGGTTTTGGTTTTTGGGTTTTGTTTTGTTTTAAAACTGGAACTTTTTCTTATATTTTGTATCTTATCATTTATCAAAAATAGAAACAATGAAAATAAAGCATTTGACGAGTCTAATCAATTGTTCCAAATGATTGTAGATTTTTTTTTTTTTGAAAAGCTTCTCTTGAACTAATTGCTCTCTCCACATTTCTCCAAAATTTTACTCGTCTCAAAATAAGAAGTCAAAACTACAAAATTATTAGTAATCTCAGACATTATATACATATTGTTCCAGTTTATGAAAAACTATAAAACATAATAGGTAAGTTTTTTTTTTATATCTCAACTCCTTAATAAAAATGAGTCAATAGTATTTGATTAGGAAATGTTTCACTATGTCTTGGTTTAGAGTATTACATGAAAAATACTTCAAGACACTTCCAGATTTATGGAACAATTACTTGAGATGTCTTGATTTAAAATTTGGGAAGTGATTATCACCACCCCCACTACCCCACACACATGTGGCGGGTGGTGATTGGAGGAGGGGGAAAAAAAAGAAAAAAGAAAAACTGGTCAATCACAGAGAGAGAGAGATGGAGTCAAAAGGCGTGCCTCCTTGAGGGAGTCCAATTCATTTTTCTTAAAATTTTTTACTAAATCTTGGAGTACACATTTTGTAGTAAAAGTTGTACTTTTTATATATGGTATATACATGTATCATTTTTTGAATGCACATGGTAGCTTTTCTCTCTTTAATACTATGATCCATTAAGATAGATGAAAAATAAATTCAAGTATAAAATAAAATAGAAAAACATTGAAAACAAAAAAGCAAGAAAACACATTTGAAAACAAACAAGATGATTGCTTTTCTTGAAAATCCTCATTTTCTTACATTCTACCAAATCAAAATGTAAGTAAACAACAAAGCAATTTGAAATAAGAACCACTTTTATATCATTCAATACAATTGTGGAAAAAAAAAAAAAAAAAAAACACTGATTCCTATTACAATCTAATAGAGATTTTCTTCCCCAACTCAACCCCAACTAAAATCAATACAATCATACAATCATACAAATCAACTTAAAAATGAAATTCATACATGTATATTGTATGTAAATATAAGGATATATTTTTTAGGCTAAACTCCAACCTATTCCATCAAAAGAGCACCGTGCACCAAGTACAGGCGATCTATACCCAACAACATCACTACCGCCACCAGAACCACCGTCATCACAATTCCGTCGATTCTCGTACCAATAAATACAACTCATCCCCACCAACACCTCCGCGATGGCGGCCTCCGCCTTCTCCTTATCGGAAAAATGAAATGTCTGCAGCAACAAAACCGACGGCTTCGAATCAAACTTCATTTTCTCAAAATTTCTCTCCGCCTGCCACTTCACCGTGTCTTTCGCCATCGGCAAAAGCCACCCCATTAATTCCTTCAACGCCTCCCTCCACCCCTCCGCCAACGACACGTCATCATCCCCAACCACCGTGGCCCTGGCCCCCACCGCCCTGGCATTTTTCGCCAGCTTTGATTTCACCAACATTCTTAAATTCTCCGGCAACATCATGTACAAATCTTCACGGGCATCGTCTCCGATCGTCACTGCAGAGTCTAAGTACCTCTCTGCCAATAGAATTACGTTTGCGTATCGCATTGTAAGCCCCGAACCACCCACCGTCGATGGCCCAGCCGCGTGGAACACCCTGTTCGTAGAACCCAAACACGAGTCTTCTTTCAAAAACAGCAGCGATTTCTGGCTGTGAAATCGGATCAAACTTCGTTTCGATGTGGTTGGAATTGGACCCGATCGTGAAGTAATCTGTACTTGATCTTTAATGGGTTCGATTAAGCAATACTCTGGTTGAAATCTGATGATATCTTTCTGTTGCGAAGATTTTATGTTTCGCAACGATACGCATGGTAGGAATGAAAGGTAGGGGCCGAATACGAGACAAATTCGAGCATAAACGATGCAGACTATGCGAGCCATTAGGCCAACGCTCTTGTCGAATGTCTGATTCCATAGTGAAATTTCTCTGAAATGGCGAACCTGTTTTCTCTGATACGAAATTTTCTTATTGAAGAGATCGAAATTCGTGGGATTCGATTGCAATACTCGGCTATTTAGCTTCCATTGTTTGAGCTTTCGTTCCGAAACTTCCAATTCAGATAGAGCTTCCAAGGCGGTGTAAAGGCGAGAAGTTGCAGAAACAAGCTTCTCCATCTTGTCAATCCTCTTCTCTGTATCTTTCGATGCGTATTCCAATTTACCCAAATCAATTATACCCAGTTTGAGATCGGTGTAAACAAGGTCGAATCGATTCAAGCCAAAATCAGAGCACTTATGGCCTAATCGAGCCACCGTGGTGGCGGCTTTATCGAGATCTTCAATCTTCTCGGCACAAGCGAGGCTCAAGAGAAAGACCTCATCCTTGGAATTCAAAAAGGCTACGCCTTTCGATTTCGTGACCTCTTTTTTGAGTTTCACAAGCTCAATGTCATCGAGAGATTTGTAGAGAGAAACCAATCGAGACATGGTTTTAGCGGTCTCGAATGAGAGAATTCCGAGGTAGTGCGTTGCAGAAGAAGAGCGCTTGGATTCGGCGGTGAGAGAGCGTTTGAGGTTATCGCCAACGCGAGAGCCGACTTCGGAGAGCCAACCCATCGTGTTGTCAAAAACCATCAACAATGGGTTGGTCCTTTTGGTGAATTTGTATTTGTTTGCTCTTTTAGTTTTTGGTGTTTTGGATTTGGGTGGAGATTGGGAGGGAGAGAGAGGGAGAGTTGGGGAAGGGGATGAGGAGGATGGGGTGGGAGATGGAGGAGGGGAGTATAGGGGGTGGAGGTTCATTTGGAAGGAGGAACGGAAGGGACGCGTTTGGACAGATGGAGTTGGGGATGTTAAGTAAGCGGGAAAATTGACATCTCGGTGCAGTTGTGAAACGGAGAAAAAAATGGTAAATAACAATAATCAAGTTTAAAATATATATAACTAAATTAACAAAAATTTTACTTGAAAAAAATAAAATAATAAATCAATAGTGTAATGCTATGAGTGAGATCTTAATATCAATTAAGAAGAAATTATAAATCAGTGGGTAGTATGATGGTGTAAATTTTCTATGTATGGTACTAATCTTTCATATGTGTTAGAATTACATTAAAAAAGATTCTATCTGTAGTGCAATTTTTTTTATTATACCACTGAATTTACAATTTCTCGTTAAATTAATGAGCCATGGGTCTCACATCCATATCGGTATAAGACTCGGTTCATATATTTTATTATGAATAGTTTAAAATTTAATATGTAACTTAGATGTTTGAAAATATAATAAGAAATATAATTATGCCTCCGTTTGGCAAGAGTTAAACGGGGCTTTTTTAGCTATTTTAGCCACAAAAAACAAAATAGGCTATTTTAGCCACAAAAAACAAAATATCACATCCAACCCATAATCATTACATTCTTCTCTCACAAAAAAAGCCAAAAAAGCCAAAAAGTCAAAAAACTCTTCCCAAACCAAACTTTTTAGCCCAGGCTAAAATAGCCAAAAAGCCAAACCACTTTCCAAACGGAGGCTATATGTAATATTTTTATTTTTATAGAGACCATGGCCCTGCTTATATTTATTTTGTTCAGTATTTAATTTTGGTGTTCCAAACAATAATAAGATAAGATGATAGAATTAATTAGGATTATCAAAACTCTACATATAATTAAAGATTTAAATTTTGTTACAAGTAAAATAATATTCCTCAACAGAAATTATCAAATGGATATGAAATAATACATAATTGTGTCGGCTAATATCTTTACAGAGAAAATTAGTGTAAGATCCCTCTCCCATTTTTAGTAATGAAAGAAATCTACAATATTATTTTGTGATGTCTAAGGTCCCTCACCCACTCCCATATATCTCACCCACCAAAATGAGTCCTACTGAACCCTAATACCTATTTTTGCATTCTCTCTTCTCTTCTCTCTCTCTCCTATCTCCATTCCCACCACCACCTCCATGCCCATTCTTGTCTCCGATTTTTGCTCTTCTCACTGGAAACTTCCATCTCCACTGGTTTTCTTTCGGCTATGCCGCCCGGGTGAAGGAGGAGAATGACGTATGGTGGAAGGAGCCGATGGAGAAGCTCCAGAATATCAGAATCACTACAAGAAAAAACACTTTCCGTGACCAACATTTTGGTCGCGAAAAGTACCATATTTGGTCAGTAAAACCTTTTTGCGACCAAAATATGTTGGTCGCGAGTTGGTCGCTAAAGCCTCGTCACAGATAGTTTTCTGCGACCAAAAAAGCCTTTTGTCGCTAAAAGTGACCATTCGCGACCAACCTTTTTGGTCGCGGAAAGTCCAATTCATATTAGCCAAAAGTAAACTTTTAGCGACCAAAGATAAGTTGGTCCCCAAAAGTCAGCGCCTTGACCAAAAAAAAATAATTCTTTTGTGCTGCTTGAGACTTGAACTCCTGACCAAGGAGTCACCATGCACCAAATCCACTCTGCCAATAACATGTTTCTTGTTCATATTTGACAAAAAATATATATAACCCATAAAATTTTGGTTATATATTATTTTATAAAACTTTTAATGCCTAAACAGAAAAATAACATGTAATTACAGTAGTATCATTTTTTTTTAAATTTATCCCTCCATAACTTTCCGCGACCAACTTTTTTTTTGGTCACCAAAGGGTAATCTTCCGCGACCAAAAAAGCCTTTGGTCGCCAATAGTATACTTTCCGCGACCAACTTTTTTTTTTTGTTGCCAAAAGGTGATCTTCTGCCACCAAAAAAGCCTTTGGTCACCAATAGTATACTTTCCGCAATCAACTTTTTTTTTTTGGTCGCCAAAGGGTAATCTTCTGCGACCAAAAAAGCCTTTGGTCGCCATTAGTATACTTTCCGCGACTAACTTTTTTTTTTGGTCGCCAAAGGGTATACTTTCTGTGACCAACTTTTTTTTTGGTCTCCAAAAGGTGATCTTTCGCGACCAAAAAAGTCTTTGGTCGCCAATAGGTATACTTTTCGCTACCAACCTTTTTTTTTTGGTCGCCAAAAGGTGATTTTCCACGACCAAAAAATTGCGGTCGCCAAAAGTTAAATTTTGGTCACAGAAAGTGGACTATTTGCGACCAAAAAAAATAGGTGGTCGCCAAAAGTATTTTTTCTTGTAGTGAATATCAGCACACATCGATCTTGGGAAAACGACTCTGATGGAGCGAATTCTGTTCTATATGGGAAGAATTCATGAGATTCATGAGGTTTAGAGGGAAAGATGGAGTTAAGGTGAAGATGGACTCGATGGATTTGGATAGAGAAAATGGGATTACTATACAGTCTGCAGCTACTTACTGTACTTGGAAGGGTATCAGGTATGGTTTTTTGACTGTTTGGTTATTGAGATTATGTTGAAATTTTCAAAAATGTGAAAAATAATATTTTTTTAGCCTTTAGGTTGTTTTCGCCTGAGAAATTTCAATACTCGGTGAACAAACATAGAGAAATTTGTGCTAAAATTTCTCTGATTTGGTTAAAAATTATCTGGTTTGGTTAAAATAATTTTCTCTAGTGATCTTATGTATCTTGATATATGCACGTTATGTATTTGTATAAATGTCTACTTTTCTGTTTAGTTAGTTTTGTTTTCATTGATTTTAAAGTAGCTCTTTTTGGTTTGTAAATGATCTTATATATGTAATAGTGATTTGCTTGGTGATCTATATGGAATGATAAACAAGTACTAGAATGAAACTGAATTTTGATTTGGATTGTTGGGGGAAGTGAATTTCATCTCATTTACGTACTAAAGGGAGTAATTTTTTTCTGGCTGGTGATGATAAGGTATTAAAGCTTGAGATTGTGAAGAATTTTGAGAAAGATGTGATTCTCTCTGGGAAGAAATTTTCTAAGAAGAAATTTCCAAAGAAATTCTCTAGGAAGTCCAATATTTCTCTGGACTTCCCACTCTCTAGAAAATTTCTCTAGACTTTCTAGACAGTGTCTAAAGAAATTTTCTTAATCGAATTTTCTCTACATCGATATTGAGTATTTTTTATATTATAAAATCTTAATGGCCCCGTTTGGTGTAGCTGTTAAAACAGCTTATAGATTATAACTTAACAGATTATAGATTGTGACTTTAATCAGAAGTTGTTAATCTGTTTGGTGTACTTGTTGGATTATAGATTTAAGTTGCTGAGTAGTGTTTGTTAAATAAGTTGTGAAATAACTTTTTCAATTAATTTTTATTTTTTGTTTGTCTACATTTCTCATAAAAAAAATAATAATAATCTATAGTCCATTTGAGTCTTTTTTTTTTATTTTTAAAAAAATAAAAAAATAAAAATTTAAGAGTATAACCCTAAATTTAAGAGTATAATTATAAATTAACATGTCCACAGCAGAAGCTGATAATCAGAAGCAAGGGTTGAGCAGCTTCTCAGAATCAGCTTCTCAGAATCAGCTTTTTTGAGTTAAAATAAGCTGTTAGAATCAGAAGCTGTTTAAAATAAGTTTAACCAAACAGTCCAAAATAATTTTTTCAAAGCTAAAAGCCATAAGTTGACTCTGAAAAGCTGAAACAAATACCCCCAATATCTGGAACTTTAAAAAAAAAATTAATATTTTACAAATATAGAATAATTACTTCATAAACTAAAACTTGCCACGCACCAATAAAATAAAATAATTAAATAAATAAATAAATAAATATAAAAAATGAAAGAGATAGGTTAACTCTCTAACCCAAATGACTGATATGGAGAGCAAACCGCCCAGAATTTGCGATCAACTCCATGCTCATTGAGCTATCTTCTTTATTGCTTGGGACGTCTATGAGATAGATTTCTAATATTAATATTATGTAAATTAAAAAACAAAAAACAAAAAAATTCTGATTTTGAACAGATAATTAATTAAATCTTAAATTTTTAATTATTTTAATTAAAATACTTAAATTTTAAAATTATATCAATTAATTATTTATTTTGTTAGTAAAAAACACAATAAATTAAATAGGATGAGAATTGAATCAATTTAATTTTTTATATAAATAATATAGACTATATAAAATAAACGATTACATTATCAAAATAAATTTATGATAAATTTCACGAGTCTAGACAGTATCGTCCAATTCAATAGTGGAGTAGAAGGTTGCCCAATCCTATACATATATATATATTTGTATTTGCTTAGAAAGAGTGGTGAAAAGTAAAAGTTGAATTTCATATAAAACATATATCAGTAAGATAACTTCATCATTTTTTCTAGTGCAAGTAACTAGATGGTATCTCACTTTCCAATTCTCTAAAAACTTTCTCATAAAAAAATTATCTTAGCTAAATATATGCAAAAAAAAAATAATTACTTTTTTTTTGTAATTATATTTTTTAATTTAATGAAACAGACTCCTATGCGTTTAAAGGGTGAAAATCAGAGAGCTCAAATTAACGAAGATAAAATTAAGTAACAAAATCCAGATTTTGGACTCGAGAGCGTTGTTTGGGTTCGTGAGGTCCACCACGGGTCTCATTTCGATGATTTGAACCGTTCATTTTATCGGACACTTTATGTATTTCGTCTACAAAAAAGAAAAGAAAAAAAAGAATTAGGTCAATCCGATAACTATAATTTGTTTAATTTATTGTGTTTGTGACTAAAAAAATATATAGTTTATTTTTAAAAACACAATTGCTGTTTATTTTTTTAGTGAAAAATTAAACAAGTTACAATTATCAGATCGATCTAATTTTTTGTGTGAATGAAATATATGAAATACTTGACAAAATGAACGTTCAGATCATTGAAATATGAATTATGATAGGCTT